CTTGTGATATGTGAACAAACGTAAGACCTTCCCTTCATTCCAAATGTTATCGGCATGCTGAGTCATTGGTAAAATTCACGTGCGCCTCGCGGCCGGCGGTGCACCGGTCGCGGTGAAGCGCAGACCCTTGAACGATAAGTTCATTATAAGACACCTTGCACAATCCTGTACTCATACTCTGATGAGAAGCAGAATCCCTTGCTCTGGGTATGTTGTTGATATTGCTTGATGTGATTGAGTGTTCCGTCTTCTAGAACACTGAAGCAGTTTGCTTCTGATGTAATTACACCTGGGTTACTTCCTGCCATATCCGTTTTGCTCATGAAGCTACTGACATTGAAGTGGTGTTTCCGTTCGTCTGAATTTCTTCTGGAGTTTGTTGAAGCTTTACATTTCTTTGTGTGTAAACAGAGTCAATTGTTATGCTCACTCGTTTTGCTGTCTGCTGTCCATTTAGCTTTTCTTGGATATCAAGTGAAGGATCGTTTTGTCCATGCTTTCTTTCTTTATTGTCGTGGTCGTGGAAATTTCCAAGTGTCACCTGAGAAAGACTTGAAAGGATTCTGACGATGGTGTATACTGTACTTCTTTTGGCTTGTTTTGGACTTCATCCGTTGTCTGGTATGTAAAAGACAAAAGACCACGACGTTTCGGAGACTGAAGACGGAGACAGATCCAGTCTCCGAAACGTCGTTGTCTTTTGTCTTTTACATACCAAACGATGGATGAAGTCCAAAACAACCCAAAAGGAGTCACCCGAGAAGTTCGGAGTTGTACTGTGGTGAGGGTCAACATGTTCCCAGAGGCGGGCCAAGTGTTCAGGTGGTCGTAGCCTCATACCCATGTTCACGCTGCACTACGTCCTACAAACTTCTACTCGTCTATTTCAGCTGAAGGAGTTGTGCCGTGTTCTGTTTAGTACTGAACGCAAGCAAGCCGGGCCTGGGTTAATGTGTCTGGATAGATACCGCGTTAGGAGACATAAGCAAAACTAACACGGGCAAGCAAAAGAGGGAACGAAGATACTCTGCAACGGCCCGCTTTACTTTTTATCATTCTGCCAGACTACACGGCGTCACGCCTCAGGAGACAGTATTCTCCACAGAGCAGTTTGTTCAGAACTCGTTCAAGATCAGCAGTTTAGCGGTACTGCTATTCCTTCAATGTCGCCGCATCGTGTTGCACTGCAGGCTCGCCTGTTGATGTCAGAGTTCCTATTCATGATGCCGTCACACTGTGCAGTCACTGAACGAACACTGTCTGGTCATATCGTGGATATCGAGATGTGACATCTGTCACTATAGTTCCTGAGCTACAGAATGTACGACGGAGGGACTGTGGCCCGAATCCCAGCAGGAAGGGAGACGGCTCACAAAATATCTCTGAAGCCCACGCGGCCTCACATCCAGCGGGTACCGAGGATATTTCCCGGCACAAAATCGTCAGAGCGTGAAGCTCCTGCTGAGAATGCGTGGAGTTATACCTCCACTGCCTATGTGTCTGTGTTTCTGACTGAGCACCGGAACAATTTCAACCTTACCCTTCTAATTCTCTTTAAATAAAGAACGTCTCTTCAATTTATTTCTCTTCTTCGGGTATCCCTAGTCACGGTTACTTCTCTCTGATTTGGATATGAAGCAATTAAAGGGACGGTGGGGAGAAGTGTGTTCGTCACTTCGCACTTGAGACATCAGTTTGGTATGTCCTGTGAGTGTTGCCGCCTATACTTGATGTTTCTGTTGTTCCTCAATGGTACTGATTAATCATTGTGTAACTCGCAACGGTCTGCCCCGTCTCCGCGTAGACACGCACACCAATCATCTGTAAGGAGGCAACACAATGCACCATTCTGCAACTACTGTATTTTCCCGTTAATTAGATTTTAACCGAAGTTGCATTACAAAATAACGTCGCATTTATGAATGGAACTGAGGCTGTCTAAGTTTTAATACATTCACCTTCACTTTCTTCTCTGAGCCTCAAGAGACTGCTGCATTAACTTCACTGTTAATCTGTAGAATTCCGCAACTTGCACCTAATGAAATTCGGCTGTAAATTTCGAGCTTTCTAAATGATAAACTGTAAATATTATTTCTGACGCGGTCCTGTGCGCAGTAGCTATGTCTACGTATCGAAGGTTTTACACCTCACATGTCGTTATGTTTTGGTCGGTGTTTTCTCTCAGAGCTCTTAGTGACATACACGTATCCGTTCATCTAATATTTATCAGTTTTCTATTGTCTCTATTGTTTTAACTCTGAAAACATTTTGCACGAATGCATGAAGCCGTAAGTGATATTTCGGCGTAACATTTCATAGAAATTACCATTGTAACCGTATCTTGAGTCGGTCACGGTAGCCGAGTGGTCTGAGGCATGTACTGTCTTCGCTTGGTTGGAAACCGGGATTGTGGGTTCGAATCCCACTCAGGGCATGGATGTCTAGTTTGTGTGTGTGCGTTTTTCTGTGTTTGTATACAGGTAGAGGCCTTGCGACGAGCTGATCACCCGCCCAAGGAGTCCTACCGAATGTGTAAGATCTAGAAAAACCGAAGTGAACAGAGAAGTTCATGGAGGTAGGCCTAGGCCCACTGGGACTGTAGTGCCAAGGAAAAAACTGTGTCTTGTTAGTGAATTGTTACAGCAGAAAGTAAATTCCTTTAACTGTAGAAACGTTGCTACTACTTTGGTCTGATTATCTGTTTTCTTTGTTCCGTACATAGACCCTGTCTACGTCTTCTGAGAAAGTTCAATATTATACGCCTACTGTCACATACTCTCACTCTTATCTTCCTTTTGCTCTCCTATCCATGCAGGAGTTCCCCAAGGTAGTGTGCTAGGCCCCCTCCTTTATCTCCTCTACACCAATGACCTCCCAACTTCCCCCTACACAACTACTGCCACCTTTGCTGATGACACAGCTATATTAGCCTCCGACCCTAATCCAGTCACTGCATCCCTCAAACTTCAAAACAATCTCAATTCCATAGAAAGCTGGCTCTCACTTTGGCGACTAAAAGCAAATGAAACTAAATCCTATCACGTCACATTTTCCAACCGCAAAGCTACGTGCCCTCCTGTCTACCTCGGCAATGAGCCTCTCCCCCAAACAACTGAAGTCAAGTACCTTGGATTCCATCTTGACCGCCGCCTCACGTGGAAAAAACATATCTTCAACAAACGAAAACATCTGGGCATCCTACTCACCAAACTACACTGGCTACTTGGACGAAGATCTAAACTAACTCTAAACAACAAGCTCCTCATTTACAAAATCATCATCAAACCTGTGTGGACATATGGCATTCAACTATGGGGCTCTGCTTCGAACACCAACATTGCCATCTTTGAGCGATTTCAGTCTAAAGCTCTGCGTCTGCTAACGGACGCCCCTTGGTATGTCCCCAATGCCATCATCAGACACGATCTACAAATACCTACAGTTCAAGAAGAAATCAGTCGACTAAGTTCGAAATACAGATCACGGCTCAACATGCACATTAACCAAGAAGTGTCTCAACTCTCTGCACCCCCGCCTCTCCGCAGACTGAGAAGACATCTTCCACATGATCTCCCAAACAGATTTCTTGTATAATGTAGTATTATTATTTAGATCTTAAGTCCCTAGTTTGTAAGTATTCTCCCACAAATCATACCAGACTTTATCTACTGCACAAGGAGCACCGCTAATGAGCGGTATTCTACACGTTCTTTTTCTTTCCTTTTCACATCATTATGCTAAATGTATTAACTCAGATTGCATAATAAATATGGGAGTCTAAAAAAAAAAATCTTCCTTTTCTTCTTCTTTCTGTTTCAGTTTTGATAAACATTCTAATAACATTGTACTTAATGTGAACAATGTTAATATTTCCGCTTCTACCCATGGTTTCCAATGAAATTCCCATTTGTGCCTTCCTCGCGTGTTAATGGCGTGTGTGGATGCCTAGTTCTCGGTACACACCGCTGTGGATCGTGTGTAAGTGCTGTGGTTGCCTTCATGTGGGCATTTCATTTCTGTCTATAGCGCGCTCCCGGCGGGGGCAGTGACCTTTCAAAATACCATCCACTATATTCACGACTTGTATATATAAGTTTTATGTATTTTTACAACTTTACGAACTGTATATTTCGCATTTTACAACACCAATTGGAAACTTTTTTTAGAAACTTAAACATGCTGAACAGAAATGGATCCATTTAAACTACATATTCAGACCGAAACATGTGACGTTTTTAATTACGAGTAGATACAATAAAGAGACTGACTCATTCGTACATTCAACGCAATCACTTGTTATATAACGGCCAAAATACCACGTGTTGTGGGCGGTACAGAAAAATTGGCTGTATATTCACAATATGATGCAAAGCAGAAAAATTTCAGGTTGGTTATTTAACGACGATGTCAGTATGGAAACTATCTAGCGTCGACGTGAAACCATAGAATTGACTAAACGTATACAGATAGTCCTCGTTTTGTCGCATTACCAAATTTGTAGTGAAGCATACACCCTCGGCCGGTTACGAGAATGCGAATGTCTGCGGACAGAACTGAAAACGGTGTTGTGGTATGCGTCTTCTTTATAATTTTGGTGCTCTCTATCAGTTGCGTGGTCCTCCATATCAGGGCTCAGGGACAGCTCAGTCGGTATAGCGACTGGCTACGGGCTGAACGACCGAGGGGTCGGACTTTCAGCGCCGGTAGGGTCAAGAATTTTCTCCTCTCCACGTCGTCCAGATCGGCTCTGGGGTCCACTCCAATGGGCACCTGGAAGCTCTTTCCCCGTGGGTATAGATACTCTGTGTACTGGCCATGTCTGTTCTGCCTGTGACTGATGGTTGAGCCCAACAGACTTCTGCTATATTTCCACGACCTTAGCAGATGTGTTATGACACTGTATTAGTTTTGTTATCACCGTCATTCCGTAGTTAAGACGCGGATGTCAGAACTATGTGGGTTCATATCCCGCCTAATCACATTACTGTTTGTCCCCGCAGCCGACGCAGTGCACCCAGCAGGCCTGTCTGGGCAGCGTGGTTTCGCTTCACACTCGCCACACAGTGGGGCCGCGCACCAAGGAGGAAGTTCTGCGTCATGCCAAGGACTTCCTGGAGCAGTACTTCACCTCAATCAGACGGTCAGTAAAACCAAACTCCTACTAGCGGGGTACAGCGACGACCTCGAGGTCTCTAGCAGCCGATTTTACGGTTAACCGGCCGTGATGAGGGACAGCAGAGCTGAACCACTCCGCGGCCAACTTCAGATAATACATACAGAGATTTCGTTCCAAATCTGCAGTATATCAATATGGCTGCCGTCATTCAAACTCGCGCGAACTGGCTGCGCGAAAGAAACCATGAAGGGGCTTGCTCTATGCCCAAGGCAGACAACTTACCGGTTTCCATAACAACTTAAGCTTACGTTCATCCGGTACGTAACGTGGTGTAGTCTAGTACATGTATACAAACGTTCGCGAGGAATTTGATGCCTCAATTTTCAGAGAGGTCCCATTTGTTCTACCCTGAAGATGGAGGCAACAGTTTCACCGAAAATTTAGTAACCATCTAAAACATCGTATCACATCCTGAATGTTAATAGCCTTAGGAATCTCATATAAATAAACAGATCGCTTCGGGGTAAAATGAACAAAATTGTAAAATCAACGAATTTTTGGATATATACATCGGCCTGGTTTTGTTGACAACGTCCCGAAAGTAAGTAAATATGTTAGGACATCATCATTACGGACCTTTGGATCTTACTGTACAGACGGGACTTGGAAAAGTCGGATCACAATGCGCGTGCATATACACATTTATGACTACGTGGTCTATGTGCAAGTACTGAATAAACTGTTGCAGGCCCCAAACGACAGACTGACAAACCTAGTCTTATGGCACTGTTGTCATGCTCCACCTAAATCAGCCGGTAGCAATGTTTCTGACTTTAAACTGTATTATTCCTTTTGCAAAATATAATTTTGTGTACGTTCACTTCCATGCCGCGATATGTGGGCCCAATCATGAGACAATTCCGTCTCTTGGACTACCGAAGTCCAGTTCGTCCCTACCCGACCTCTGTTTCTACAGGAACTTACAATTTCATTTTGCTTGTCAGTATTCTCTCTGGCCAACATAGCTGTGTCAGATGCATACTCTATTAGCGTATCGTTTCTATGAGTACAGCTTCCTGTCATTTCCAGTATATAGTGAGACTTATGCCGTGTTCTATTTTATCACGTTCAGTAGACATACTCGTAAGAAGGATCTTCAGCCACACATTAGGGTGATCGTATCCAGGAGGAAGAGATGAACAGGACATGTAGCACGTAGGTAACATGAGAACTGCATATACAATTTTGGTCGGGGAGTTGAATGGCAGACAGAGATCATTGGGAGACCCAGCTAGGAATAAGAATATTGATCTAATGCTGCTTTGGATGCTAATAAAATATTTTCTGAGGATGGAGTGAGATTCGTCTGGCTCAGGAAGGTGTCCGGTGGCTGGGTAGCTCTGGTGAACACGGTAATAGATCCTCGGCTTTTACAGAAGGCTAGAAATTTACTGACTATCCGAGCGACTACTGGCTACTCAGGGAGGGTTCTTCTTAATAACTTGCATACTAAAGGTGGTTTTGTAACATGACATGGCACGGTGTGCAACTGTAAGTTCTAGGATTTTTCGTAAAGCCTACACAGTTTTCACACACAGTCCTGTCTAGCAGCATGCAGGAAGTAATGCATTTTGTTCCCTGGGCTGGAATTTACGAACGCTCTCCAGTCGACCAGACCACCGCAATTTTCTCTCACCCGAACGTCAACATTTATATTTCACTAGCCGGCAGCCTCCACAGAGGGGAGGACAACAAAATGGCGGTAGCATCCTCCAACCCATTGTTCTTCTGGGAGGTCCCTAAAAGACCTCACACGTCGGGTCAGCTATTTGATTTCGTGGATCTACTTGTCAGGTTCTTCTGCGAGCCAGAGTTCTGTATTCTGACATATGGCGCCGTATAGTCAGGTGAAATTCAGCGGACGTTTCCAAGTGCCTCCATCTTCATGGGCGAAGAGTAAGCGAAGCAGGAAACCAACACGAGCAAAGGTGAAGCAGAAGAGCAGAACTCTGCTTGCGATCTGCTTCATGTTGGCTTCTTGCTTCAATAACTCTTCGACCATGAAGATGGAAGCGACCTATCTCTACGAAACGGTTAAGTTTCACCGGACTACAAGGTGTTATGCCCAAAAAGGTATGCTTACCCCTACACCTTGATGTGAATACCTCAAATTCAACATTCTTGCGTTATTTCCAGAGTACAGTAAGGAAAACACAGTGGAGAGTCCGTGTCAGTGTCCTGTTTCCACGTTGATGCGTTTCAAGCATTAGCTTTACGTTTCTTCACTATAACTGCGAACTAAACTTCATACTAGTTTTCCTCAGCTATAAGGAAAGAGTACAGTGGCATGAAAATAAAAATACTGTGACATGTAGGCGTTTCTAGGAAACGAATAGTAAACACATTCCCAAGCTTTCAAGAAGAGCGGCACAGTGCTACGCAACGGTTCGAGTACTATGATTCACTGCACGCAGCGTTACTTCAACTGTTGACAGCCGATGTCCATGGCAACGAATCGTTCAGAGCACAGCAAAGGAGGGAAGCGATAAGACTAACTGTTGGGAACGGTGCCGCATATTCGGTCGGCTGAAGGGTTATGTAAAGAAACAGAAGTCTCGTCACATAACTCTGACTCTGACTCTGACTTTGACTTTGAACTTAGTCAGAGGTGAGAGGAGTCACTTCAGCCCTCCCGTGTGGAGGCGGAGTAGAATACCTCCACCGTAATCCTGCAAGTTGTAGGAGGCGACGAAAAGTGAAGTCTCGAATCTGAGACAGTAAAATATGGTCGCGAGTCCCACGGGATTCGGACCCGAGAATGACTGCGCTGCTGAGGACCAGCAGCAATTATAAACGATAGACCTGTCCTCTCTTCAGAGAGCAGGCTCCACATCAACAAACCCACGGCTGTCTGACAGTAATAAAAATCTGGTCATAAGCCCCAGATGGGTGCTTAATTCCAAGATAGACCGGCCGACTGACCGTCGGTCGTAACATAAGACTCAGGCTCAGACATATAAGTCAGAAGTCAGAAGTCAGAAGTGAAGTCTTTACTTTATGTGGTGCAGTTAGAGTAACGTATAGAGTGTTATCATTGTTCTCAGTTACTAAGTGTTGTTATAGCTACAGTAAGATTGAAAGTGTTGTACATTGTAGTTCCGCTCGGTGAATATCCAGCAAATAGATTCGCCAAAGCAAACCCGCGTCTAAGTCATTAATACACGTGTTAGGTGTCTATGTGTGTGCGTGAGGACGATACAATGTGAACTCAAGCTCCAGCACTGTACAGTCTTCATCGTCTGAACTTCTGTGACTGTGGTTGCTTCGTAATACCAACAACGCATAGCAGCGAATATGTTACGATGTAACAAGGTGTAAACACTTAGAAACGAAACGGTTGTTTGGGAATGAATATATGGTTCTCCGACAAAACGCTTTCGTGAAACACAGTAGTCGAACCCTTGGAGTCGGTGTCTTCTATCGCGGGCGCCTAGCAATTTTAAAGCCGGTGGGTTCGTGAATTCGAGAGAGGAGAGACCAGTCCGAGACTCAGACAACAGCGAGAGATGCCTCATACAGACGTCACTAAGAAGGAGTTCAGTGTGTGCGCTGCTACAATCAACTGTGACTGTAATAGAGACGTCCAGTAAACCCCATCATCAAACCTAGAACCCACAATTATTCGTCACGCTACTCCTTATACGTGACAGTATTATTCCAGTAGACTGCGTATCTCATCATTAGGAAGGACCGTCGCCGAGCACCTCACGTGCTGCACAGGCAGGCAGTGACACAGCACGTCACAACAGCGGAGAAAACGCCACTCAGCAGCGGCTGACAGAACCGGCAAGCAAACTAATAACAAAGTGTGACAATGAGAACTACACTCATCTGCGATGTAACCCGCTGTGGCCTGGCGTAAGTCTACCGACGTTTCGGAGAAGCACTACTTCCATATTCAGGGTGCCTAATCTTCAACCCCGAAGCTGGAGGCAGTGTATTCCTCCGAAACGTTTATAACTTTTTGTAAGACTACAGGGCGACACAGACCAGAAAAGAGTAATATTCAAATAACAATGTGGAGCGTACGTTATCTTCCGACGTACAGGACTGCGGTAAAACCAATGCCAGTGCAGACCCCAGTCTTGACTTGTAGCCTTGCCGACTACTGCTGAAACAAAGTCTCACATGCCGGTGTCAGGTCAGGTTAGGTTCGCCGACGTGTTATGGCGATCGACCACATCCACCTCTTACACCGCGCTGCCTGAGAACCAAACTCACTGAGCAGCATCTTGCGTCCCAACTGCCTGTGTCCCCTCTGAAGCATTACCGTACTTCGGCCGTCATTACAAATTTTATGTGATCCTTCACTTTCCGGACAGACATATAAACCGGGGGATGGATGCAGTTCAGTGGCGAACGAGCTCGTCTTCGAAGCAAAAAGTGGATCCTTAAATTTGCATTTGCGTTTTGCACTGCAGAATTTACAAATATATTTACGGCTCTACAGCCCTTTGTTGGATCTCGGCCGCTTTTTCAGTTTCTTAATCCTATATACAGTCGGTAGGACTCCTTGGACGGGGGATCAGTCCGACGCAAGGCCACTACCTACACAGAGAACAAACGCATATAGACTTCAATACCTTCAGTGGGATTCGAACCCATGATCCCAGCGTTCGAGCGAAAGAAGACGCTGTGATCGGTAGAATTTATAGATACTACCGTGTGTACCAATAATACAAACATAAACTGATAATTTATTTAACCAATTACCTGATCGTCCTTATATCTATTATTGTATCTGTAAATACTCGTATTAATACCGTTAGCAAAATAGTTCGCCAATCCCGAAACAGTTCAGTACATTATATATTAAAAAACCTGTTCTCTTTTAAATCCGTTTACACTAGTCTTAAAAAACACAATATGATTCTGTTCCTTCCAGCACTGTGAAGTGTCTGAATACGATTTTCAATTCAATTCAATTCAATTCTTTATTATTAATGTGCCGAGTCAACAGCCGC